GAAATAAAGCCAAAATACAATTAGTTTTAGCTCTAAAAAAAGTATCCTGGTATCTTTTTATTTTCCATCTTCATTTTTTGGTGTATTATCTATCCATGCATATTCTGAAGAGAATGATGGAGTTTGACAAGAAAAACCATATGGAAAATAATGTTTAAACCTCAAAATCCTGTTTAAAACTCGAAATTTTCTTAATAAAGCTTTGTGTTACAAAAAGGAGCACAAGAGGTTACTAAAAGGAGCATAAGGTTACCAAAAGGAGCATGAGGTTACAAAAAGGAGCAAACAATATGAGGCGCCGAACCGGACAAAATTGTCTTTTAGAAAAAAATATGTGTCAAACTACGAAAGTTTGCTTAAATGCAAAAATATATCCACTCAACTCTTGATAAGTATCTGCTAAACTTAATTAATTGGTTCTGATCTCAATATATATCGGACAAACTTGAAAAATATATGCTAAACTTAAAATTTTTGTGTTCAACTTAAAATATACATGTTAATATTTTCATAAATATTGGCTAAAGTTGGTATCGCCATGGCAAACTAAACTCAACCACGAAAATAATTGTGAAATTTTATAAAATTTGCCAAACTCCAAAAATACATGCCTTTCGAAAAATATATGTTCTAATTAAGATGCTTTGCGGGCTTGTTTACATCATGTGAAATTAGTGAAAATGCAACGGCCGCCATTTGTAGCGGATTCTGCGATTGTCGAAGATGCTAAACCAGAATGAACTACAATTTCACTTGAGTAACGCGTTGCAAAGAATAAGTGAACTGGAAAACGCTAATATTTTAAGTGCAATAAGAGCGATGGTAAGAAATGACGAGTTCACAGGAAATCAGGTATTGAAAAAATGAACAGTAAAAATGCCTGTTTATCGCAGAGACGGTCAGAACGTCGTCAACGTTGAATGGGTGTCATTTTTACAGTCAGCCAAATCAATTATAACCGGCGTAGCATCTCTATTAACAGAAACCATTACTGAGGATGCCTTAAGTAGAATCGATCATTTGGAGGTCTTAAATAATCGATTAGAATGTACGTGCTCCTTCTTTACGACCCTACTGAACAACACGAACAATGATCAAGAAACATTCGGTGTGCTTGCAAGCGCTTTAAACAGCCTAATGTCCATTCAAAGGGCACTTAGTCTTGAGATGGAACGGCTCCAATCAATCAATGATGAGCAATGTTACAGGTGTCCAGTTAATCATACAAACAGACCTGGTCGACCAAAATATGATATTACAAAGAATCAGCTTGAATTTTGCGAAGCAAGCACTTTTCCTGGGTTAACATAGCCAAACTGCTGCATGTGTCTACTCGAACATTGAGGAGGAGAAAAAATGAATTAGGTATGATGAGTTTTTGCTATTTCGGAGGAAGAACTTACCCAAGCTATGGAAGACATAAGGAAAGTGACCCCAAATATTGGTCAGAGTAGGATGGTTGGTGCCCTCGGGCTAGAGGGCTGCATATACAAAGGCATAGAGTGAGGAAATGCCTAAAAAAAATTGATCCTATCGGAACAGCACTTAGATGGAACTTGACAATCTACCGGCGTAAGTAATGTTCCACACCCAAATGCACTGTGGCACATGGACGGCAACCACAAGCTGATACGATGGCGCATAATAATTCATGCATGTATTGATGGTTACAGCCGACTTATTATTTACCTGCAATGTGCAAATAATAACCGAGCCTCAACTGTTCAGAGTTTTTTGAACATGGAGTCACAGAGTTTGGTTTACCATCAAGAGTCCGTTCTGACCATGGCTTGGAAAATGTTAGTGTTGCACGCTATAGCTTACTAATAGGGGTTGTGGCAGGGGCAGTATGATAACCGGTAAATCTGTGCATAACGTTAGAGTTGAACGCCTTCCACAGAGATGTTTACTGTGGGGTACTTTCTCATTATGTCTGGCTGTTTACGACTATGGAAGAAGATGGTTTGCTTGACTGTCTTAATGAACATCACCTTTTTGCATTACACTATGTGTTTATTCCGAGAATTCAAAATTCTCTTGACGAATTTAAGTGCCAATGGAATAGCCACCCTGTTAGTACGGCTGAGAACCTAAGTCCAGAACAAATGTTCATCAGGGGAACTATGACCAATTGCAATAGGAATATACTGGCAGAAGAGAATGCCCATGAACAACTTGGTGCCGGTGTAGATTTAGACGAAGATGGAACTGTCTTAATCAGTGATGATGATTACGATGTTTCAGTACCACAAGTAAATGTCAGTGAAGAGCTAACCAACTTGGTACATGAAACTATTAATCCCTTAGATGACGATGGATATCATGGTGTAAATTTATATAGAGCATGCGTAGGTCTGCTATGTGAAACAACAACCAATCAATAGTGTATCCAGTTTTTTAATTTTAATGAAATGTCAAAGTTACATTATAAAAATATGACATTGTTTCAGAACAGAAACAAACTGGCGTTTAAGGCCTGGTTTAGACCTCAAACTTTTTATTTGCCAAAATTGATATTATGGAGCTAAAAGACTTCGTTCAAGTTCATTTGCGTTCAATTCCACACAAAAAGTTTGATGTAAGGAATAGGCCTATTAAAAGTCAGTTAAGCATGCAAGCGGTGATTGATATGGTAAAGCCTTCAGGAGTTTAGCAGCAAACAACTGAAGGAAAACATTGAGTTGAATTAGAAGGCAACTATACTAGTTGGTTTATATTTGAATTGGATCCGCTAATTCCCTAAAATTTTGGACTAACACCGATTTATTTTTAAAAAAATCAATTGAATTTTCTTGTTTGTGGTCAGGGGTATTCAAGCCATTTAACAAATGCATAATTATCACTGCTACAAAAAACTGTTAAAAAATTGGTACACAATGGTTACTTTCTTTAGTTTATGTAATTATGTAATAGTACTGTATTTCATCAAAATCTTTTAGCCTGCAATTGCTGAAAATCACCATTTGCATGTTCAACATAAGAAGTAACTACTAACACAAGACTAATAAAAAATTGGCTAAAACTAGCTGAGATTAACCTTAAAAGTACCTCAAGCTAAATAAACCAAATATTAACTGTAAAAAAATATTAACAAAACCTTGACTTAACGTCTTACACCTAAAGCTGGTTTAAACAATATGGAATGACCATGACAATTTATCAGCTAAGATATTACTAAACTCCTCAGCTAGGTCATTATAACATTGGTATGTACTTGGGAGCTCCAGCAATGGTGCACAAGTATGTGCGACTGGCCGCCTAGCAAAACCTTGGACAACCACAAATGCAACCTTAATCTGTTTAGTTACAATAATATCACTACCAGTCGTAAATTGAAGAAATCGTGTTAAAGACTGACCCTGTAGAGACTTTACGTACTGCTTTAAAAAATCGAAACATTGGTTTTCAGCATCCTTAGATGGCTCACACTTGAATAGTTTTATTACCTTACGGGTTGTCGGACGCTTTTCATCATACATTTTCCTAACTCCTTCAATAGATTGGAAAGGAGGAAACGACTTTAATGCATGAATATAAGGGGTCCAACAGTGGACAACGTATTTTGGCTTTTGCACAAGTTCTTGGTGTGCAAGCTCAGAAAATAATGACATTATGTTTTCTCTACTTGGTATGCGAAAACACTTGTATGAACTCAATAGTTCTAATACTTCATCATCATTAGGAGATAACTCCTCATCCCTACACTTATCAAAGGTCTCGCGCTCATCATCAGAGATGTACATTCTGAATGATTGTATCAAGTCTTGATGAGTTAAACTTTCTTCCTCAAAAAGGCAAGTAGCAATAAATACTGAGGAAAATGAAATTGGGAAATATTTTTCCCTGATGTAGCCATAAATAAGAATCCTAACAATTGCCACCCATTCCATTTTTTGATGATCATGCCTAATTGCAGGTACTTTCTCCTGCACACCTACAGCCAAGGAATCAAAAAATTGCTGCCAAAAGCTTGTAAGAACATCCCTGGCTACACCTACCCCTTCACCCTTTTCAGGCAAGCCATTAAAACCTACAACAGTAAACATTAAAAGATTACTTAGGATGTCTGGATCTTGAAAAAGGATAATCATGTCCTTTTTGATGGTGGTCCTGTGCACTGTTACAGCTCTCACTGAATAATTTTCCATCTGCCCAGGTGTCAAAGGGTGCACTAAATTAGGCAAAAAGCAATTATATGTATTTGAAACTGACAACATCAAATAGGAAAATTTTATATACTAAAGGCGCTGTTACACTATGCAATTTTCCTTGCAACTTACAATGCAAATATAATTTTGAGGGATGTTAATTAGTAAAGAGTGTTCGAAATGCTAAGAAAACGTTAGTAGATCGTGAGAAATGTTCGTATTTGTCAACTTTAGATGCCTCAGGAGTAGAATTGCATTGCAAGTTGCAAGGAAAGTTGCATAGTGTAACACCGCCTTAAGTTACTTATAAATTTTAACAAATTAATTTTATAATTTCTGTCTTAATACTTTGTCAATTACCAAAAAATAATGCTCAAAACAAAATTAAACAAAATGAACTAGAACAGTTTGAACACAAACAGTATGAACTAATCTGGACTTTTTGCTGCTTTTCATCTTGTCAACTTACCATTTGCACAGATTGGTTCAAGAAAACTATTGGGCAAGTCATCAAGGTCTGGCAGTTCTGGCAATATTATTTCAGAAACATCATTAACTTGTTCCACATTTACAGGGTCTAAAATTTTAATTTTTAAAGGCTTTTTGTGTATCACATTTTGAAAAATATGACAAAATACATGTGACAAAGACCTAACATTACATTATGAGAATCCATGGGGGACAACATAACTGATTTGTGAAACTGAAACAAGGCAGTGAATATTGTTTGGTTCATGCATTTTACTTAACTCACCATTAACCTGTTCATCAAGTACAGCAGGCATTGATATCAACTCTGAAACGTCCTCTACATTCACATGTTCTAAAATTTTTATAAATTAATAATTAATTATTTAGATCATTCACTTCAATACTTGCAAAATAATTGACACACCATCAACTGGTTCATCAAAAATATCAGGTAAGGTAGCAGGAACAGGGATTGAATCTAAAAATATAGAAACTATACATGTTGAAACTATATTTGTTCATATAATTGCTTATATGATTTTAGCAAAGCCTACAATTGTTACATGAAGAAACCCTCAATTGTATGCCTTGCAACAAATTACATTGAGTTTCTCTAACCCACCATTATTCTTAACTGAATTAATTAGTATTCAAGCCAAGAATTGTGATTTTGATTGCTACAAGCTAGATGATAATTAACACAAACTAATTATATATATGAATATATACTGTATCATATTAGTTGACAGCATGTTAATAACAAAACTCCATGTAAACCATCAAAAATTAACAGCTTATACCAGACTCCCATTTACCTGTTCCTTTAATATCTTCAATTTCTATGAGTTCTGGTTCTTGGACTTCTTGCTTAATTATAAACTCTTCATCATCAAATTGATCATGACTGTCACAACCAGCAAGTTTTTCTATTGAGCGTATGTATACAGCACCTTGGCCTGACAACTTCAGAAGCATGTTGCAGTTCATCATGACACCAGGAGCTAAATTTGGCAAAACGAGTTTTCCATAGGAGGCCTGTAATAAGTAAATATAATGTGAACATTACATGCCTATCAGGGAGCTTAAATGGGACTGGTAATCAAAGAATACCCTGGATTTGTTTTCATGCAACAATTTAATACATTGTTCTAAGGAAGAATTTATAACACAGGCATTGTTATAAGAGATTACAGGTCTATGTTTTTGTAGTATACATACATAATTACGTACCTTGACGTATTCATAACCACAACATTGGATCTGGGGAAAGACTTTTTCTATTTCTCTTTTCAAAGTAACATTATCCCATTCTCTTACAAAAGGAAAGCTGTGAATAACGAAACCATCACTTTCTAAAGTAACCCGAGAAGAATGAGTAGGAACTGAAGTTTGAATTGGGTCCGGAACCAACACCAAGTCTTTGTGAACTGCTTTCGGCTTGATTTCTACTTTAGAGCTTGACGTACGCTTTCGCTTTTTCTTGTTGACACCAAAAGGAGTCGCCGAAGCCCGAGTCAACGGCATTTGTGTTGACCTTATGGTTGAATTGATAGAGGGAATTACTGGAATTTCAGCGCTGTTTGACTGCAAATTTGCTAAGCTGGGAAAACTCCTTCGCAGTTCTTCCGTTAAGGTTAACCTACTGTTTCCTCTGGAATTGTTCGTCGAACAGGTCTGGTTATTAGGAGAAATATTAGCGTTTTCCAGTTCACTTATTCTTTGCAACGCGTTACTCAAGTGAAATTGTAGTTCATTCTGGTTTAGCATCTTCGACAATCGCAGAATCCGCTACAAATGGCGGCCGTTGCATTTTCACTAATTTCACATGATGTAAACAAGCCCGCAAAGCATCTTAATTAGAACATATATTTTTCGAAAGGCATGTATTTTTGGAGTTTGGCAAATTTTATAAAATTTCACAATTATTTTCGTGGTTGAGTTTAGTTTGCCATGGCGATACCAACTTTAGCCAATATTTATGAAAATATTAACATGTATATTTTAAGTTGAACACAAAAATTTTAAGTTTAGCATATATTTTTCAAGTTTGTCCGATATATATTGAGATCAGAACCAATTAATTAAGTTTAGCAGATACTTATCAAGAGTTGAGTGGATATATTTTTGCATTTAAGCAAACTTTCGTAGTTTGACACATATTTTTTTCTAAAAGACAATTTTGTCCGGTTCGGCGCCTCATAAAACAAGGTTACAAAAAGGAGCATGCTGAAGTTACAAAAAGGAGCAGAGGTTACAAAAAGGAGCAAGGTGTAGCAAAATGCTCCTTTTTGTAACCTTGAAGGTTACAATAAGGAGCACCTTAGGTTACAAAAAGGATCATGAATATGACTATCTATCTATCTATCTATCTATCTATCTATCTATCTATCTATCTATCTATCTATCTATCTATCTATATCTATCTCGCGCGAGGTTTTGCGTGATAATTGCGAGTTTGGCTATCGTGGTTGTTGCTTACTTCCCTAAAATGCCAAGACCGTATTCAGATGATTTGCGCTGGAGAATGGTATATCAACGTATATTTTTTGAAAGAAGTTACGATGAGGTTGCATCTCAGTTATTTGTCAGCCCCAAAACTGTTTACCGAACAGTTAGCACTTTTCTTGCCACGGGTGATGTGAAACCATGCCATTTTGGTCGCCCAAACGAGAGCACAACTTTGTTTCCTCATGAAGAGTACATTATCATGGACTGCCTTCTGCGAACACCTCAAATACAGCTTAGCGAAATAGCAAATTACATTATCAACGTTCCACTTGGTCCTTGATCCTCAACTTCCTTATTTATTTCATTATAATTAAATGTTTATAATTTGCATTTATTTGCTTATAAGTTCCAATATAACCAGAGAGCAGCGTGGCAGCATCTTCAAACAACTTAGCATCAAATGTAGTATAACAACTGCCTAAAATAGACGAAACATTTCTCAACGTTTCAACCTGAGGGCCTTCGTCAGGAGAGTTAGTATGAAAATAAATAGGGGAGAATACATGTTTTGTATGGGGGCAAAACACATGATAAAATTGGGCCAACAGAAAACAAAAAATCAAAACAAATTTGAATACATTACATTGCTAAAGAGAAGCCTGATAATGGGCTACGAATAGCCCGCAATAAGGGAAGCCTGATCAGCAACGAAAATGTATTACAACCGATTATTGCAAACAGCTTTTATGTAAACAAAGAAATGGGAGTCATATTACTCTGGGTGAAGTCGCTTAAATGAAAGAGAGTCCATTCATTTATGCCTGGGGGATGGAGAGTGCCAAGACTGTGGCAAGACTAGTAACAGGCTTGGTGTTATTGTGGTTGATAACTGCTCTACGATGTTCACAAACCTTACCCTTAGAGATCTTCCAATTTTACCGATATATACTAAACCACATTTGTTGCATGAGATGCAATAAATGAGGTTGGAAGGAGAGGCATGTGAAATGGTGCCTGATGAAAAACTGTGAATTGGGAGGTGAAATGACAGTGTCAAAATCGGTAAATGAGCATGTTTCACATTGGCCAATGGCACAAGGGAATGTGACATTGGGCTCTGAACAGTTTTGCTGTAGAGAGCTGTGAACCAATGCATCCCAGATATTTTTTATGCGCCGAGATTAGCGGGTTATCTGTGAAAATGGAAGATGTCTCAGGATCATTCTGCAGGATATGAAAATTCCTAAGTAAGACATCCTAACAGCAAAATTGAAGGGATGATGTGTTAGAACTAAGGAAGTAGAATTAATGCTAAAGGTGCTAGAGACAGAGTCTCTAAGAGTGTCTAAGCGGGAAATGTTAGACGCCTTAGATAAGGTAGTGTCAATAAGTGGGGAGGGATAGCCGCACCCAACAAAAAATGTTTTCATCACCAGACATTTGGACAGAATGTAATCATCTTCACTGGAAAAGGTGGCAGAGATGAAGAAATTGTGAGAAGGGGATAGACCTCTTAGTGTGGCTTGGGTGGAAGGAAAAATATAAGAGGATTGTCCAATATTCCAACAAGCATACTGATGGTTAGTACCGTCAGTGCCGATGAGGAATTGATTTCACAGTCTGTAAATAACTGTGTCCATTGGCAAAGCAGGGGGCTTGGTTTGGCTAAGGTAGCCCACAAAAAGATTGTCCATCAGTACCGATGGTAAAGCAATTCTCCATCGGTAAATAGATAGACTCCGTCGGTACCGATGGAGAATTGAATTCACGGTCGGTAAATAACTGTGTCCGTTGGCAAGGCAGAGAGTTTGGTTTGGCTAAGGAAGCCCTCCAAAAACCGTGTCTGTCGGTACAGATGGTAAGGCAATTCTCCATTGGTAAATAGATAGACTCCGTCAGTACCGATGGCGAATTGAATTCACGGTCGGTAAATAACTGTGTCTTTTGGCAAAGCAGGGAGTTTGGTTTGGCTAAGGAAAGCCCTCCAACAACCGTGTCCGTCGGTACGGTCGGTACCGATGGTAAGGCAATTCTCCATAAGTAAATAGATAGACTCTGTCGGTACCGATGGAGAATTGAATTCACGGTCGGTAAATAACTGTGTCCGTTGGCAAAGCTGCTATCTTGGTTTGCCTAAGGTAGCCCTCCAAAAAGCTGTCCGTCGGTACCGATGGTAAGGCAATTCATTGTGAATTGTTTTTTTGTGAAAGATATATGCTGTTTGGTAAACATTTCAACATTTATCATTGATATTTTAATAATGGTAGGCTTGTGTTTTGGGGTCACTGAATTTGTTATTTCAATAGTATGCAAGAGACTCAGTAATGGCACATTGCATTTTTTATCCGTACACCGGGGGGTGAGGACCTCGGAAATTCCAGGGGGGGAATTGTGTTTTCACTAGGAAAATTTCCAGACAAGGGGGTGTTTGGACAAGATTTCCACGGGCCATATTGTCTCCAACTGTATTGGAAATTCCAAGGATCCAAGGAAGAAGCAAAAATAATAATCAAAAAATCACTCCAAAAAAAATCTTGTGTCTGGAATTTCCAACCTGAATATATTTGCTACTTTTTATTGTTAAATTTTTTACATATTACTTTGTGGACGATCCAGCATTTAAACATTAATAATCAAGACGTATTTGCAACAGGCATAAAAGCATACAAAGCAGAGACAGACTTTCCCATCTATAGCAGCAGATTGTTCTCTGTTGTCTCTTTGATGGCACATAAGCGCACAGGGACATTCCATATTTTACTTGTTGTCTAATAGACTCAATGCATAATGACGTCAAATGCTTCTACAATCTACATGACCACAAAGACTAGCATTCCTTCCTACATTTTTTTTCTCTTGATACTTCTGACAGGAAATGGTGCTCTTTGTGGTCACGCAAAAGTGTTTGACATCATTATGCACAAGGTCTGTTGTTGATAATTATACATTAAATAACATATAGATCAAATGGGTCTTTACTAAGATTACATTCAATAGTAGAAAATGAATCATATTTACATAGGGAAAAACTTGCAGTCTTTCAAGAAAGCCCTGAATGTCTGGGCGTTCTTTACTTTTCCTAAATCCTACCAAGTTACCAAAAATTTTAAGATAAAACTTGAGTCTCAAATAGAAAATTACTCATTTCTAAGAGATTTTCTGAGAAAATCATGCAGCAGGTCTTTTATAGAATTTTTTTAAATGGCTTAGCTGAATAAAGGTTAAATTCTATGAATATAAACCTGTTCTTTCGTGTAATCCAACAGAGCTTTATGGAATAAAACTTACATAACACTGATCCAAAGCATGATAAGAGTCAAGCAAGACTAATAGACCCGACTAATCGCAGCGTGCAAACATATCTTAAGCTAATTTTAATTTTCCGTCGGCCAGGTATCCCGAAACACATACAGTGTAAACACAGTTTGGTTCAGAAAAATATATAATACTTATGTTGTCTTCTTCAATTTGGCTTTCTTGTACCTGTGCGGAATACCATCCTGTTCTCCACCCACTATCTCCAATTTCTTCTTTAGTCCACTTTACTTTCAGCTTTCGACCAATAACAAAAAACTCGTCATACTCACTGTAGTCATTGTTTTTGATTAAGACATTACCAGAAAGCTTCTCCGTGCGGGAAAGTTCGACGTCTTTTTGCCTGCGCAAGTTACTAAGAATTGAAATGTACTCCTTAAGAGGTTTGAAAATATCTTGAAGGTTGTTGAAGTTTGTATCATCGGGGATCTCAAGGTGGCTGTTACATTTGCTCGTACTATTCGTCCTTTTCCTGTAGATGTATTCAGAATTGACAATTAATCGTTTTTTCTCCTCTTGAATGATGTCCTCAGCTAGTGAGATTGTTTTTAGTATCTCTTCTTCTTCTTGCTTGAAACAAAGGTAGTACCTGTGCTGGGAAACCAGTAGAAGCCTCAAAATAAGCTCTTCTTTTGTACCACAGATTGGGAGCCCATGGTAATTCAAAATAAAACGTATACGCGCTACAGGATACTTTCGAATTTCTGACACTGTTTTCGCCACAGTAGTCAAATCTCCATCGTAATCAGGTGTGTAATCTCCCGGGACAACGGCATCATTTTCCTTCTTGACTAGTTGTTGCACAAGCTCGTGCTTCTGTCCTAGGTGTGGGAGTCCGTTCTTCTTGCAGAGTGCTCGCAAATCGTCAGCCTTTTTGTTATACAACGTATGTTTTCTCCACTTTTCTCTCAATAAATCATGTTGTTGATCACTAGCAAGATTATTCTGTCTCTCCAGGAAATAGTCTGCCACTGAACGTTCTGGTAGCCAAACCAAAATTGCAAAATATTTGTACATATCAATAAGTGGATGGGAATTTAGTTTGAAAAGCAAATCAAGTAATCTTTCTGGTCTAAACAAGCCAGGCGTTTCATTCCATGTTCCACTCACCGAGTCTAAGTGTTCTAATGGAAGGTAATGAAGTTCTCCTTTAGTTTCAATCCACCGCAAATAGTCTGGTACTGGCTGGTATTCTTTCCTTGATAGACTCCTGCCTTTCCTCTTATCATCAACTCGATAAACTGTTGTTGTGTACTTGTCCCTCCAGGCCGTTCTTACTTCAACAGTGGGCAAGCAATTATTCAAAATTTGATAGTCTTCTAAATAACTACCTTGAAATTCTGAATTTATGTTCCAGACAGCAACCAAATTGTCGAACAATGAAGAAGTTTTATTGATTTGATATGTCCAGTCACACATGTTTTTTCT